ATTGAGCCTTTGGATCCATTGATTGATTGATTGATTGGTTGGTTGGTTGATTGATGGACTGATTGATTGATCGGATGTTTAATTGAGCCTTTGGACTGATTGGGTGATCGATTGATTGGTCAGGGCTGATCGTACTGACTAATCGATCGAATGATAGATAGATTGATCGTGTAAGAGATTGATTGGTTGATTGATGGACTGATTGATTGATTGGCTGTTTAATTGAGCCTTTGGACTGATTGATTGATCGATTGATTGGCCAGGGTTGATCGTACAGACTGATCAATCGAATGATAGATAGATTGATCGTGTAAATGATTGATCGACTGATTGATGTTGTTTTGTTAAAAAACAAAAATCAATCATAAAACAGTTGGAGGGTTGTCGAAGAGTCGGTCATGGAAAAAAGAATCTCGCGCTTGGTTTGATCGTCCTCGGGCGCCTCCTGCTCAAAAGCTTGGAGGAATTCCCGAGTTGTTTTTTGTATCGCTAGAGGTTGAAAACCAAATTTAATATAAAAGACTGATTGTTGTGATTGACTGGTTAACTGATCGGATTGATTGATTGATTGATTGATTGATTGATTGATTGATTGATTGATTGATTGATTAAATGATTGACGGACTATTGATTAATTGTTTGATTGATTGATTGATTGATTGATTGATTGATTACAACCCCCGACCCAGACACCCGCAAACTCTCCTCCCCCCCCAAAAAAAAAGAAGCATGGCTAGTTTGAAGCATGAAGCGCGAAGAAAGAAAGGGAAGGAAAAGGCACATGTTGTTTGGTATTAAGGAGCAATGGGACACCACTCAATGGACTGGAGACCCCGGGATAGGCAAGAGAGGATGGAGATGGGAGGGGACACAGCTTCCTCCTCCTCCTATTCACCTCCCCCAAATCAGGTGGAGGAACCAAACCCTTAACCTTTCCCCCCCCCCCGGCGGAACTGTTGAAGGGGGTACAGGAGACGAAGGAGTTGCAACAGGAGAAAGAAGGGAAACGGGTACCCCCTCGATCGTGGGCAGATAAGCTGAAAAAAATGTACGCGGGACAGATCCTGTCGGTGAAAAGAAAAGGGGAGGGTGAAGGGAATTTGGAGATCCCATCGGATAACTTAACTACAACCTTTGCCTTCTTCCTCGCAAAGTTATTGGCTGTATCGGAAGACTAGATAATCAATCAGGGGGGGAAAGAACACATGGTGAAGGCCCTCCCTGGCAACATAGTTAAGGAAAGGGATACAATCTATATCAAACATGCAAGCACCTGGTATTCTATGATGACACAGCGTACAAATCGGCAAACGATAAGGTGGGCTGGATCAGGAAGTGTCTGGCAACCCTCAAAGGATCAAAGGAGGGAGCACGATATTTTTTTCTGATCCAACCTACCTCGTCGACTGTCTTCACAGTAATCTGCATGTTCGACTCCGACAAACGGATTATGGACTCTTGGCAGAGCATACCCTGCAGTCGCTCAGAAGTTCGGATTTTCCCCTGGTCCCCACCGAAACAGCAGAAACCAGAAGAAAAAAGAGAAAAGTTAATGATGGACTACTACTGCGTGGAATTCAGGCACATACCTATAAAAATCCAGGGGGCTTTTGTGCAGGAACTGGCCCATAAATATGAAATCGTTGACTTCATTGACCCTTTCCCCCCTCATGTGGCTCCAAGGGACAACTATCTCATGATAGCCTTGGACATACCCAAAGACCACATCTTCGACATTGATGATGTCATTCCCTTTCGGGTAGGGGGGAGGGATTTTCGGATATACACAGAACACAAAACTCGGCCCTGGTGTTTCAAATGCCAGGCATATGCGCATCTCTCTCTAGACCCGGATTGCCCTCACCACCCAGCAAAAAGAATCAAATCAACAGGTCGCCTCTTACGCGACCCCTTCAAAAATACTTGGTGGAGGACGGTGGATGCAGGGCATGAAGGATGGGTTTACGTGGATGAGCCGCGAAAAGGAGGAGAGGTAAGGAGTTGGGAGTAGGAGAAAGGCGGCGAGGTAAACTGGGATACAAAATCGCCGGATCAATGGACTCCCCCCAAATCGGTAGAGGTGCAAATGGAGAGGACCACCATTCACACGCACCTCATGCACCTCCACCCCGAAAAGGGAGACAACGTACCAGACAGGCTTGGCCCACAGACGGAGACTCAAACAGAACCCATGCCCCGAAACTTTATCACCCCGACAGATTTGGGGAAATTGTGGCAGTCTCCCCCGCCCCAAAAAAAAAGACACCCCCTGGTAAACAAGGCAAGTTGCCAAACCAGTCAACCAGAACAGACAATCGCTTTCAGATACTGACAGCAGAGACCGGGAGGCAGGGGACAAACAACTAATAGCACGACAGAAAAGGCAACTGGGACAGCAAGTACGGCTGGAACAGTCAGAGGAAGAGGGGAAAGGCAAAAGACATGATAGGTTGGAGCCCCCGGGCAGGGAACAGGGAATCAAAGGAAAAGGGAAGGAAAAAGGGACACCCTCTGGAAAAGAAAGTGGAGAACGAATGAATAAGAAGGAAGTTAGAAGGGGGCGAGAGGGAGAGAGGTGGCGGGATGGGGGCAAGAAGGGAAATGCAATTGGGTCAGGGAGAGGAGGTAACCCAACAGGTGGCAAGGGAGCAAATCGAAGAGGGGAAAACAGGCCCCCAAGAACCCCCTATAGCAGACCCTTCCCAGGGGACTCTAGGCAGTGAAGATCCCCCCCCTCCCGGAATAGACCCCTTCCTGCAAGCCTTTGGGCCCCAACCCATGGATTGGGATCCACCGGCGCTCTCCTCGGATATGGAGATGACAGATACTACCCCAGAGGCCTGGGGGTCAAAAGGGGAAAAGGATATTGAGACCAGATTAAGGGATCTGGCAGAGTGGCTGAGCAGATAGCTCCAGACTCCGTACACAGGCCAAACAGAGACATATTGGGATGACGTTTATGTACAGTTGTTCTCCCTACTGGAGGAGAGCCCCAACTTGAAACATGTCTAAGGCTGACAAGCCCCCACCACATCCTCCCGATCA